AGTCAATCAATCTCAGGCCCAATGACTAATTTTCATTCTAAGGACGAACAGCCCAGACTCATTGAAACCGCTAATCTTTCAAGGTCTAAATAAATGGTAAATGTAAATAAATGATAAACCTTAGCTTCTCACTTATGTAAATTTCGTTTTACTTGACAGCAATCCTATTCACCGCTAAAATATCTGAATTCAAGAAGAATGCTGGATGTTTACAGCTGTGAGATAAATATGCCAGTTCAGCTCCAGACGTTATCAAGCGTATCCTCGATAGACTTCAGCGAGATTGGGAAAATTTTCAATAGTGAGGTGGTTAATGGTGTACCTCACGCTGATATTCCATGGGCCCTCCAGTGGCGCTGAAGCCTGCCGCGTGATGCGCGCAACAGCGGGCGGAGATAACTGGTATATACTCAATATCGGTGAGTTGGGGTAGGCGTGTCACCGGAAGTGACGTGTACTTGATAGAAACTATGTGGATAAGCTGCTTCCAACATACCTCGCTGGCTATCAGCAAGGCATGCTGGCAACTGCTGATCCACGCACTTCTATCAAGTGCACGTCACTTCCGGTGACACACCCACCCCAACTTTCGGATATCGACTGCATATATAATTCGTGCGTATGTGTACAGTCGATATACGAAAGTTGGGGTAGGCGTGTCACCGGAAGTGACGTGTACTATAGAAGTAGCGTGGATAAGCCGTTGCCAGCATGTTTCGCTGATATCCAGCAATGTATGCTGAAAGGAGCTTATCCACATAGCTTCTATCAAGTGCACGTCACTTTCGGTGACACCTCTACCCCAACTTTTGGATATCGAGTATGTATTATGTATGTATGTGTGTGTACGTCTGTTTGTCACGAAATTCATAGCGCATTTCGCTGCAACAGTAGAGCGCTGTACTTTAACGTAGGGGGAGGGGGTGGGACGGAAACATCTTTGGTGGGGTACTCAACGTGATAACGACTGTTAAGGGCCGATAAGAGGCACCAGAACGCCTGTTCCACGATATCCATGGCGCGCGTCCCAGCATAAGTGAGACATTGGTTCGAAGAAGTCCTGTAGGGGGCAGGACGGGAACATACATAGCGGAAGAAAGAAAGGGATCACGACCGATGAGGGCCGATAACAACGATATGGGCAAGAATATGAAGGACATTCAAAACCAGACTTCAGATGAAGCATTTCATCTCAATGTTCTTTTATTGTGTTTTTATCATCCGCCTGAAATACCACTAGACCGCTGTGCTCCCCCCCCCCCCAGAGTTACTAAAAATGTATGGTGAATGTTCGGAAATACGATAACGAGTGCTGGATGCTTATATTTTAACATCACACACAATCCGACCGCTAAATTACACTGGCAAACGATGCAAAGTGGTTGTTTACAGACACCACTTTAGCTTCACACTCCACTGCGCGTATCAAACGGTGAGTTTCTGCAAAGATAAAGAGCTTATATTAGCGGTGAATCTAGCGCTTTATCGGCTGTCCTGTCTCATCCGGAATTTTCGGTATCATACGCGCGGTAGCGTGCGGAGCCAAACTGGTATCGATATGTTCCGTTATGAAGCTAACTTGATGTTAAGAAAATTAAATTTGAACCAAAATCGGCCAGAAATTATGGAAATACCTAGTATAATAGAGAGCCGAACTACTCTAGTGACGAATCTGAGTGATGTTGAGTTGATTGTGTTTCTAGCGCTGAAATTTTGATTTAATCTCAAAAATGGCGGTTGGGTCACTTGTCCACTAATCCACCACTAGAGGCTGACATTACAGTATAATCACCTTTCCAACAAACTTCCGAAAAGACAAGAACAGTGCTGCGCTTGCCTGACTGCATAATCCCAGGATAGCCGGGAAATAACTCTTGTGACTGCTTCTGGTTTTTTTTAATTAACTGGCGCCTACTTATGGGCGCCTTGGACGCTATAGACAGGTAGTACCTTGACTTGAGAGGAACTGTTCGCAAACTCTTCATATGCATATGCAACTACAATCAGTCACTGATAACGTGATTTATTTGGTTTTTCTAGCTTTGTCAAACAGAAAGCAGAGCAGCAAACCCCATAAAGAAATAAAGCGCTGACCTCCGCTCGTGGAGCAAAATATTAGGTTGGCAACATTAAAATGTCGCTTTCGTTTGTGCCTTTGTTTCTTAGCTTAGGGCGAGGGATTACGACAAGACTGGATTGGGTTCGTAGTGGAACTGAGGATGCTGAAGAATGCTCCACTAGCGAAAAAAGCAAAGAAATCCGTAGAGAACGCGCAAAACGGGACGCTTTCTTCTCCCGTTGACCTCCGATAATGAGCTATCTACCAAATAAGAGGTCTTTTGCAGATATTAACCGATAGCCACCATCACAACAGCAAAGGCCATGCTTTGAATGGTAATGCGTTCCATGGGCATGTTATAGGGTACGCACTCAAAGTGGAATACCTCATCACAATTATAATCGGAGGGCGCTGCTGCTGGGGGCGGAACACAGGCAGTGGCGGAGCTTAGAAAGGAACGACAAGCTCACTACTGCAGCTAGCGCACCCTGACCACAAAAACGTCACATTCGGCCGCCTTCGGCCCCTGACTGCTACTTCCACTGGTGCATGTACTTCCAAGCTGCGAACACAATTTATCGTAATCACTCGCTGTAAACACAGTCTCTAAGGATCGGAGACCATCCATTCGAGAGAGCGATTCAGCAGGCAATTGCAAAATCTTAGGCGCCACGAGCGGATGTTCTTCGAATGAAAAAGGATTGCTCAAAGATGACTGATAACAAATCATCATCTGAGCGTATATGTTCAAGCAAGGAAAAATGGCCAACGAATCTCACTCGTTAAGTGCAAAACACTGGGAAGTAACAATTAGTCTTTGCAATATCAGCTATGGTTTCAGCTCCTCCAAGACTATGGTAAAGTACCTGAGGATGAAGATCGTGGATTTTGACCTCTAACTCTAGATTACTCCCGTCTCACTGAAAGATCTCTAGCCGGTTGATGGCGAGGCTACGTGGCGCGACTCCAGGTGGCGGATAGGGGGTGAATCGCAGACAAACGTAACGATGTACTTGCCATGACGCAGGTGGATTCAGGGGATGGACCCCTTGTCTCTGTGGTTCTGTGTTGTCAAGTCTTGATACACCAAAAATCCGCACCCCTAAGCTCACAATAGCTTTTTTCACGTCATCGAGTACGAACTCGGCTCGAGAGTTACCGACAGGGCAGGGCCTTGTCTACATTCCTGATTAGGGGTTTCAGAAATCCTTCTATCGCTCGCCATGCAGTGTACCTACGCTCTATTGTAGATGGTGCTCTCGCACCACGGACAGCCTAACACAAAGATTGTGCTCAGAATTTCAGGGTTTTCGATGGTCGTTAGTTTCTCTCCATTCTCAGTCCACTATCCACTTGCATTATTGAACGTTCTTATACGGCCACTTTATTCGTGACGGCCTTTGAAGGCAAAAAATCGCGTTAAAACAGATGTTCTGAAAGAAAGGCATGAAGTGGAGCTCAAAGGTTAGAATTATCAAAGACGCAGGTAGCGCATTCGTAACGGAAGGTGCTTCAAAAGCCTCTCCAGTTCCCAGGGCGCAGGCATAGTCGGCCGTCCGACGGTAACGATCGCAACGGTCGTACGATCGTAGGTGTCGCACAAACTGCAATCGCATAGTGGAGGCGACGCGGTCACCCCATGTAAACCCAGACAACTCGTGACTGCACATCATGGTATTTCGAAAGTACGATTGTAGTGTGCTATAGGGGCTGCGTTCGATCATGCGACAGTTAGATGCCGGTCGGACTCTGCGATTGCATCGCGATGGATCAGTGCCGGAGCGACGCGTCGCTCCGACGCTTGTCCACCGCGATGCAATCGCTGGTCATCGCCATCGCTGGGTTTATTGCCTGACGGTAAGTGTTGCATAAACCATCGAAGTAGCAGATGTTCATCGGTCATCGTAGCTACGATGCCAATGTTTTACTTCCGAACGACCTCCATGTTAACGGTAAAATAATTCACTCCCAGGATGAAAGTTGAAAAACAAAGTCCTCTTTATCTCGGTTTTTTTACAGTTGTATCACCTGGAACCTCTCATCCGTGTTCATACTCCACAATGCATGAGTCAAAGACGAAAAAAAATTCATATGGAAAAGACAATACAATTTTTATGCGCTAGCAATGTAACAATTAATAACACAACAAGGTTGATACAACCACGTGCCCTAGCCAACACGCAAAAGTAGAGGCTAAAACCAACAAGACGGTATAAAAACGCGCTCATGCTGAATAACACGCGCTAGTCATCTCTGTAGATCAAATACTGTGTGTCATCGTGGGCTAAGCATGTTACTACAAAAGTGAATACTAATATTCAGTACAAATGACCTCTATCAGAAATACAAACAAGTCTATTTTATAAACAAACGGATGTTAACAACGTTATGAAACATGAAACAGGCGAACAGTGATACAAAAATCGTAGGAGCAGTTCGGTGACGTGCTTTATCATCACCTTCATCAAATATCTCGTTGGGACAGTGACGGGTCGAATAGAGGCAGACCAAATCAAAATTTGTTTTGCTTTTAATATACAAATACATCTATAGAACTATTAAAACCATGAAACAAGCGATAGAATATCTGTCGCTGAGCAGTGTGCGCATACACATTATAGCGAATTAGTCTATGGAGAATTTGCTTCTGCCCGAACAGTGGACTCATACAGCCCAAATCCTTCTTTCGTGGATACCATCAAGTATTTTCAAGAAGAAATTTGAGTTTAATCAACAGCTTTTCCGCAAAGACATAAAAATTTGCTTTTGGCATTATTCCCGTAAACCTGTAGTAGAGAAAGTCCCATAACGAATTTTGAACATCCACATTATCTTGTCTCACTTAGGGTTAGGTGCTGAAGCATATCCTTCCATTGTAATTCAAATTGACCATCAAAACCACAATATTGAAAAGTCGACAACCGGTCACTCGCCTTCCTCTCTACATCACTGCGGGATTCACATTGGCAACTTGCATTCCAGACATGTCGTACTGAGGATGCTGGTGTTGTGCATGATTGTACTGCTGCTTTTGGAAGTACTTCTCCAACTTGGCTGAAAATCATCTCGATAAGAACTACCAAGTCGTAACAAAACTAATGAAATTCAAACGATGCAGGCCATTTCTACGATAAATTTATCAAGGAGCGCACAGTAGTAAGTTTGAATCACTGTCGCAATCACACTCATGAGATTTTCGTCATTTTTACTTAAAGACCGTAGTCAGACGGATACCAAGCTGAGATATGCCTCGGATGTATTAGGCTGGTGTCAGAGTCCGCGATTCGTCGCAGGTTTCGCTGATTTTTGCGACTCACGCGATTCGCGCGATCCACGCGATTTGCGCGAGTTGCGCGATTCACTGATTTGCGCGAGTTGCGCGATTCACGCAATTGCGCGAAACCTGCGACGGATCGCAAAAATTGCAAGTGTATGATCATTTGAAACACTGAATATGAAAGAACTGGAACCATGAGCAGTCGTCATTGAGCCATCACTATCAAGCAGAAGAGGCTGCATGATTGGAGAACACCGCAGTATTGATCGAGCACTTGTGATTTCCGTGACCTGTTGCATGAATCGCGGACTCTGACTCCAGCCTTAGTATACCCCAATTGGGGATCTGTGCTCCATCGTGATGATAGTGTAGAGCGAGGCCGCTAAAAATTCCAGCCACCGCAACAACGGCAGCAACAGTTCTGCAAAGCGTGCAATTATATCAAGTGCTAGACCTTGGTATTACTGGAACATGAACTGCAAACTATTCCGCTGGGATCTTCACACTATCCGTTGTCCATTTCGTCGAGATAAAGTGCATAAGCTTATTAAATTTCGCCTACACTCTATGCTAAGATTTGACCAACCCGACTGCACTGACGCATTGGAGCTGCAGCGAACATGCACAGTCCCACATATTTGGGGAGCGTGTCATCGGAAATGCCGTGGCCGCAGCCTCACTACGATAGAGAGTCTTAGGGATGAGCTGTTTCTAACATTTCAGCTGGATATAGTAATAATGCATAGCTGCAACAGCTTATCTACGGAACTTCTCTCAAGTCCACGTCACTTCTGGTGATACGCCTACCTCAATCTCGATATGGACTGTACCACAATACTGTTCTTTACAACCTGCACACAACAATTATACCATGATTGATAGCAAATTAAAGCATAAATATTTCAAATAAGTTGTGAGCGTGGGGAGTCGATCCTGCTCAATTTTTATAATAGTCTAGTTTTATCGCACACTGATGCGTGCATCTACAAGGTTCAATGGCATAGAGCGGCAAAGCGGATTTTCCACTTTAGCCCTTACAATGGGCATTTAACATCACCATATCATTCGCAACCTCTAGTCTACTCCCAAGTTAGGCAATTTTAGAAAATGTTCGACAGAAGAACTCAGTACACTTCATAGCCTGTGCTGCAAACATATTCATGTCCGTGAAGAATAAGCCTGCTTGTGCGAACAAAAATCCAAGTGAGGACGGCTTTAAGGAGCATCCGCAATGCCGCGCGAAGCTTTGCCACGCAAGACCAAAATGACCTGCCTCCGACGTTCGATGGAACAGTTACTGCATCCGAAGGGCAATGGAGAAAGTCATCCACATTCTACTCGGATCTCTTCGATAGCCCATGTCCATGTGTTACTTACAACCGTAAGAGATGGATACGTCGTTCCCTCAGTTCTCTCTCCAAAGTCCGAGATGACCTCAAGTCGGTGAAGCATGACACGCACCCGTCTCGAACAGGTCAAGCGTAACATCTGAAGAATGCGCCACCAGTAATCATCAAAACTGTCTCGACTCTTCACGCGCTACCTGCCGGAATGCAAGGAACCCACTCCGTGAAAAACCAGCAGGACCGTGTTCTGTACAAAAGGGAGACTTGGACGATATTGGCAACTATCGCCCGATTGCCTGCTGTCTGTAATTACAAGCTATTACTCGAGTCATCCTCGACAGGATCGGCAGAAATACTGGATGAAGGACAGCCATGCGAGCAAGCAGGGTTTCGAAGCAGGGTTCAGCACGATCCGACCACATCCACAGGTTACAGAGACTCACTGAAGTTTCACGAGAGTCAAGATACCGCTTTGTCTCACGTTCATCGACTTGAAAAGGTCTTCGACTCCGTTGGACAGAAGCGCCATCGAAGCCTTGGGCAACAGGGCATTCCTACTCAATACATCAAGATTCTTCGTGAGCTCTAACAGCCACTTTCCGACCAGAACCATCACCATTCTACAAGGAGGTCATAATCGACGTGCAAGAGAGGGTTCGACAGGGCGGCACCTCTCGCCAAACTCTTCAGCGCGCTCTCGAGAACGTGCATGCGTCAATTTGAATGGGAAACATGGGAGTGAAGGTCGACGGCCGGCAACTACACACCTTCGTTTTTGCTGACGACATCGTTCTTATAACGCCGAACATCGAGCAAGCGGAACGAATGCGCTGATTTCGACTGCGCCTGTGGTAAAGGTCGTCTACAGCTGAACTAACGAAAACGATGTTATGAGAAACGGATTTGGTTTCTGATGGCCCATTACCGCTCACGGAACGAACAGACCGAATGCTCCAGCTACGTGTACCTAGGTTGGGAAATCAATATGATGAACGACCTACTCCAGAGCGAGCAGGAGGAAACGCAGCGGCTTGTGAGCGTAAAGGAACATCGAGGAGCATGAATAAGAGAAGACATCGCGGCTCCATGCCACCTCTCGATTCCGCTGTCCTTTCCTGCTTAATACTCGCCTCAGAGGCTTGGACTCTGCGCGGCAGGACAGCATGGCGTCAGCGTTATCCAAGCGCATGTCGAGAAGAGATGCTAGGAGTGACCCTATAACGCGCAAGTGCAGAGGAAAATCCGAAGTGCCAAACTACGCCCACGATCGATTATCAGAGGACGCTGCGTTTTCGCCAAGGAAATCGAAGATAAACTCCGGTGGCCGGACACGTCAGCGATTTTGCGATGACCGTTGACCAGAGCGTTACCAAGTGGATCATCGGACGCCTAACGAACACCTGGAAACCGCCGGCCGAGTAAGACTTTCTTCACGAAAGCTCTGAAGCAAGGAATGAAGGACATCGTGTCCCTGGAGCGAGGAGCGCCCACTGAACAACTTTTTGCAAGCGATAGGGACGAACGGAGACGTTGCTGCGCCCGCTCGAGCGAGTCGATGATCAACGGCACGACAGTGATACAGGTGACGGCTTTCAATAAATCTGATAACCTATTGGTTCATAGTGATGGCTGATAGTTATTAAAGTAGTAATTAGTGACAAGTGACAGAATGCAACTGCGATCACCGACTAGTCATTCTTTGGAGAGAGCATTGACATTATAGAGGCCGTCGTCAACTTGTGCTGCATGGTCTGTCACACGCGTGTTTTTGGAACCGAAGAGTATGTTTTTGGCCTACCTTGTGTTAATATTGCTGAAAATATTAGGGTCATTCATTAAGTCAGTTGCAAGCAACGTGAGTTTTTCAAAAACGTGATGATCCAGGAAGTGAGCAGGTCGCAGCCTAATTGAATGCCGTATTCGTCTGAAAAGCTAATTTAGAACTGCTTCCTAAATACTCAAGAGATTTCTGATCAAAGTGGGAACGCGATGTTCGTAGGCCGCATTAGAAGTCGAACTCACCCAACAGAAGGAAGTTTAGAGTCGACTTCTAATTGTTGGCTCCTTTGCTCTTCATAGCTCGTACCAAAAAGAAGTTTCATCAATGCTGCACTGATGCTTGCCTACAGATGTCTTACGTATGAGAGTGCAACCTGTAAGAGCACATACGTCAAGGATGTATGAAAACAAGGGGGGAGGGGGAACTGAAGTCCAGTTAGAAGATGGAAGCAGTTCTGAGCTCACTGTCTCAAGACATCGAAGACAATGTATATTACACAACTTCTTGCAAAAAGCCTATTGACCGTACGTGAGTATCAAAGTTTAATCAAGTTTAAAATCAAGTAATCGGCGGATGTACACTATAGTGGAGAATGGCAATCTGTTTTACTAGAGTAACTATACTGTCGTAATAATAAATGACAATCTTTAAAGTGATACGGTTCACGTTCATTTCATCAGTCTAGATTTTCTATCAGTCTTGAGGAAATCATAGAAAAATAGAAAAATCATAGAAAAATGAAAAAAAACCTACTGATTATGTGCTTTCCATAACTATACTTTCTCAGTACCGGTATGTGTGGCTTGATTGCATACATCATCTTTTTACGATACACTGGATCTGCTATATCTAACATTTTCTGCACGACGTAGTTCGCAAACTGATCTTTCATCATCAACAGAATCGGAGGTTGTGGACTAAAATGAACACTCTTTTACTCATTTTAAAACAAAGACATCGCTTCACAGTTACATAACTGCGCTGAAAAGCTTGTGCAATAGAGAAGAAAATCCCTTACTCATTCGGTGTTCCACAAACTTCATCTATCAGTAGCGTCTTATGATGTCCTCCTGCACAAATCAAACACTTCTCGATCACATTGGACGCAAATTTATGCTGAGCGTACCGCAACACGTTGCCGGCGACCTGAAATACAACATCAGCAGACTCAATCTCCAACACGCTTCATAGCTCTGAGACCTGGTTTCCAACTTCACAAAATGATAACATCGACATAGTACAGTACCATCAAACAGCCTCGGTCCTATTTAAGCTATCAATCAACTTTTGATAACAGTCACGACCAGAATAAATAAATAAACAATAACAACCACGATAACAAATCCTTTGCAAACTGGGCACTTGATGCTCTGTGAAAGACGGACTTCATAATGAAACCAATCCACATATCGAGGAACTAATCAAAACAGGACCTTGCACGAAGTCTTTTGCGAAAACATTTTTGAAGAGGTGCTCTGTAAATCTCTAATAGTTGTTCAAACCCTCAGGATTAAATGTCGGGGCGAATAAGGTCCGCTAAAGCCAACAAGTTTCTTCATTTCAGCTACTTTAGGAGTACCTCCAACACCAGCACGACTGAGCCTAGGTGCACTGGGTCAAAATCCTTTAACCCTTTGACGACCGTGTGGCCCGCTGGTGGGCCACACTTTCGCTCGGTGGCGACACGTTTTTAGGGGTTTATTTTGGCTTCGAAACTACACAAATACATCATGGAATTTGCGGAATAATGCGCTAATTACTGATAGTAAAATTGTTGAAAAGTTAATGATCATCGATGAAAAAATTTAGAAAGAATTGAAGTGACGCATTCATAACGGCGGTCCTCAAAGGGTTAATTCGACTTCTATCAAGAGCAAAACGAAACTACGATAGATGTGAGTTTCTGCGTCCATTGATTGCTGTCCTCTTTCTAACATGATGAATTTTCTTGGGTTCGGAATCATTCCTCGGCATCGCCTTTCTGCCATTTCACTTGACTTTATTCATTCGCTCTCGGTACTTACTGCACAACCTCTCAACAGTCGTGAGCGTTACCTTGACACAAAACAGAACAGGAAAAAAAAACACTAGCCTCTTGCACTATACGATCACGATCTTGATTGCTTCCATGTTCAATCACATGCTGCACGACATAATTTCCGTACTGGTCGACTATTAAAGTGCTCATATTCGCATGGAGTGCCTCCAGTACCGGTCGCTTCTGCTCTTCCGAACAATGTTCCAGCACTCTTTGTATTACTCTGCAGCCATAGGGATGCATCGACAGTTGAGTAATCTGAAATTAAATCGTAATGCATTTGTCCCGGAAGATGCTTTTTATCAGACTCACCGTGTCTGGACCATTCTTAGTGAATGTGTTAATTATAAACTGAAGACGTTCCGGTTTGACTTTCTCGATTACTTTTTGAACCACATGATTGCCATTTTGGTCTTTAACACACTTCAAAACCTAAAACAGAAACTGTCAGTCGAACGTTTGTAGCGTCACAGCCAAATGACGCTTTTGATGGGAATGTTTTACAAAACATACAAGATTGTTAGCTTCAGGTGTTCACATTATGGCTTGCGTGTCGTGGCTTAGGTTCATCTTACTGTCACTTGGGTCTGGTTCTTACGCCCGAGGTACGTATTTAGCTTAAAGAGGCAACAACTTGGGCCCGCCTCGGAATAACTTCGGTTAGTTGCGTTGACCAGGAACCCTACATTCACGTTCCCCTTCATATGTTCGCTCCTATTGGCGCCGCGAGGTCTTATGGCTTGCTGTGAAGTTTGCTAACTTACAGACTGCATGATGTCTCTCCTTTACCATTCAGTTAGTCGAGTGCAGCTTCTGATGAACTTGGTGAATGGTATTCCCGCTCAAAAAAGTTGTTGTAACTCTTCGAGGTTAAGATTTGGCTAGCCCACATCTTTCACGCTCGGCTTCTTTCCTTATTTTTACCCTTATTCCCCCATCCATATTCCTACAGGTCCCTTTACGTTCTCTTCTGGCTGGTACACGGCTGTATGTGTAAAGCTACTTACATATAGGATTTTACTTGTTTATGTTGTGTTGTTAACACTGCCTTTTTTTGTTTGCCGATGGTGCACCTAGAGTGCATGATAAATAAATAAATAAAATCATCTGTTTTACAACACTATGGCATAAATGTCATACATACCCCGCATAAAATTTCCCAATTTGTTCAGACAAGAGCAGATTTGTAGTGGAAACCACAAGCGAGAGCGAATTCACCGCTACCCAGAGGCTCACATTCGTTCATCCACTACCCAACAGACTGTAGCTGCATGCCGAATCCACTACATTATATCGATCAAATCATAAACTTGCATCCTAACTCGGAACAGCTGTTCTTTGTACTTTTGGAAAGTACCGCATTTGGATACAGAACAAACACCCTTACAGCCTGCCCTGAGAACCTATGCCTCTTTTTGTGGGTCCGTTCGCAAAATTAAGGCTGCCAGTTGAGAAAACCAACAGCTAAAAGAATTGCGAAACTCAATAGTCTTGCGATTTTAATGCTTTGCCATGACTGTGACACCACCCACAACAGCTATTAAACTCTGACCAAACACACTTTTGGCCATTCCACATTGTGGTGCCGCCCGTGGCAGCTGGAGGGGATGGCAGAGGGGGGGGAGGTAGGGGGGAGAGGGAGTGGGAAGATAGGGAAAACCAACTGCTTATTGTGTGAGATCAAACTGATTGTTGGTGTTACTCTTATATGGCATCATGACTGCACAACATACCCATAGTCTTAACCACAATTTCTCTATATGTTCTTAGAGTGCGCGCTACGCAAACAAAACACTGCTAGACTAGACGCTCGGATGGCCTTACCCACTCGGTAATGGAAAGTAAACCGGATATTCCTCGAAGTGGTTAAAGGCTCACTTAAATGAATAGTGCCGCTTCCATCACCTAGCAGTACAAGGCTTCTTCCTTCTCACACAGCTCTCACAGTGAGGGGAGAAACCTCGACTATCCGATTGGTGTGTGTTCATAGAGCGCCACGTTGGTTTGTTACGGAATTCGGTATTACGTGAAAATGACTCGTACAGGCCGAATAAAGTGTGGCACAGATAGGACTTGAGAAGAGTGTAGTACAGAAGAGCTGCTCCTCATCTTATTGCCCAGCCAACGACATGAACGGTGCGACGGCGTAAAGTTCGGGACGACTTCAAACAGCTTAAAGACCTTTGAAAAACGGGAAAGGGTATGAATTTATGCACTCAATTGAAACAAAGGTACTCGCGTGCAGAGGACGGAGCGTACCGGTGCTCTATAAGAAAGCCCTTGCCCAGACTAGAAAACCTACGAGGCAGAAAAAAAATCGATGTAGAATAGCAATGCCTAATGGTAAGATGTCCAGCACACATATGCAGATGAGCGGTATTTTTCTACAAATCGCCATATTTTGATTGCAAAGGTCCCACGAACCGAGAAAAAAAAGATAGAGGTTCACGGTAGAGGGGAAGCCTATTCATTTGTGAGGCGTGCATATAAGTGGACGAAGTTCGAAGCCTTATAAGGGGTCCCGTGATTGTCCGAAAATTGAAAAAAAAATTGATAGAGGCTTGTGAAGATGAGAAGGTACTTGTTATTGGTAAGTAGCATGCGTCAATATCGCTGGGTACTCATGAGACGCACGTGTTAGTATGCTGAGCCAAACCACTACATCATGAAGTGGACTCAGAGATTATTCTGAGACCGTTTGAAAAAAAAGCTAAGCGAGATAGTAAAAGACGTTGGATTACAACAAATTAATTGCTTACGTGGCCCTCCATCTCCCGTAGGATTTCTAGTTGTAGCGATTCATCAATCGACTCCATTGCTTTTTGAATTACACGACACCCATACATTTGCAGTGCCAAATTCATAACGTTTCCTTTAAGCGAACGGCCCAATGCTGCTTTTTGCTCAGGCGTACCGAACTCGAAGAATTTCTGAAATAACGGGAAAAATAAATCTCATCGCTTGGATGTTGAAGTGGAACCGTTGTGAAATTGGCCTACCTGTATGACGTAGTTCCCGAAGACATCAACCATAAGCGCATGAGCGTTAGCAAGAACTTCTTCAAAAAGCAGCTGTTTTTCTTTGACTGATGCGCGTTCAAGCTTCTGTTGTATGAATCTGAACTTTCAGTTTATGATCATTATGTCATATTTACTTTTAAACAAAATGTTGACCTTCACTTACTGAAACTATAAGAAATTAAAGAAATGAGAAATTCAATGCATATTAATCGGCAAACAACATGCACAAGAAGTTTGTACCAATGTTCTACACCCTTACAGCAGAACGCTGTGTAATTGCATAATTCGAAAACACAAGGGAACAATGAAATAATAGAAAAAGGTTCAAGCGCAAAAAAACAAACCTCGATCGGACTGTCTTGTACGAACACTCTACAACATGCCGCCAGAATGTGGCAAATTTGTAATGGGTGAGTTTCGATTGTTCGGAATCCTCAAAATGTGGCTAACGATTCCAGGAATTCTAAAACAAAATTTTTGCTCGCAACCGATCTATAACAGCACTTCCCTACAACACATGTGCCCTGATTCACCATTTCAAAGATTTTCATCATATAAAACTGTGTTTGAGAGTACGGTTGAACACACGTGTGATAAGGACCGAATCGCGATCCAGTACTGAGGCAATCGAATTAGAAAGATTCATCTGTGAGGACCAGCGACTCGGCTAAGTGTGCGAACTGAAGCACGAATTGCAGCAGAGGGACGTGACGCCGTGACCTATTAAGGTTAATTGCCCGCCGGTGCGCTGTCATGCATCGCCCAGCCGGATTCACTGATCGAAATCGCCGTCCGGTCTATACGTGGTGAGAGTGATAGATAGGTGAGAGAGCGTAGCGTTGAGAGGGCAGCCGCGATGAAGTTGCATCTGCCTCAAATATCAACCGGCAGGAATGTCCTCTTCTCCCAGTCTGGGCCGTGTTGCACTGCGTTTTGCTGTGCTCTTAGTTGTACCACTCAACGCCTGCGCGAACTTAATTGAAATGGTGCTTTTTCCAGCGTTTTTCGATCCTTAACGAACAGCTTGTAATGTATAGCACGCGTCACGAACATGCGTAATTGAATTTACTCAAGGTTAACAACAAGCAACAGGATTTTAGGGACTTCAATGGTGTTGGCATTTGTTACGGTATTTCCAATGAGGTTGTTGATATTCTACTCCAACCGTATCATTACTTAAAATGAAATGTTCAGAGAGAAATTTCGAGCGTCTAAGTGCCAGGCAGCGTAGTGCCACGATCGCGTTGCAGAGGTGAACATTTTCGAACAGAGGTTCTAAACCAGCGATATTTCGCGATTTACTACGTATGTAAGTGACAAGAATCCCAAATTCTAATCGAGCTAGGGGCTTTTAAGCGAAAGTTCTAGACCGGCTAACGAGCCTATAACGAATTTCAACTTCCTCACTTTAACACGGACATATATTCGACTGAAGGTACTGGAGCAACTTCTATATTGACACGTATACCAGTGAGGCGTCAAAACCTTCTCATGTGCTCCAAAGCTCGTTCTGTGTTATTATGGAGCGTGATAATCCACTAAATAGTTTTTGAGTACGGGATTAGCCGCAATCTCAACACACACAGCTATAACAGCCACGAAACCTTCACGTATGCTTCTAGAGTTGAAGAGCCTACGACGAGAACTCACTAAGAACCCCAAACATCGGCGGAAGACGGCACACTTATGGTGAAAAGCTAAGATTCTTGCCACCGACTCACACGCTGCGTGAGTGGGCTGCTGACGCTACCATTTGCATGCCCAATACGCTCTTTTGCCCTTTGCCCTAGACACTGGTACTGACGGCCCGCTTCGTGCTTGATGGTGCGTACTCGATATGTAGTGCGGGATAAAAGAAATTCTTAACGATAAGGAAACTAAAGACAGCTCAGCGACGGTAACACGATAGTCGGTTCTTTCTGAGTTGTCACCTGATCCAAGTTGACTTTCTTTCGCTCTGATGTCGTTTCTGGCTTCGAGAAGTGCCGGCTCTTAGCCATTTAGCGATATGACGCCATTAGTCGTATACTGTGGCCGGCCGAGCATAGCTCCCATCATGATTCTCGCTTAACTTTCGTAAATGCATTGACTGTCGGAGTTAAGTAATTCGTGTTGTTCGTATGGAAGCAATGTTTGGCGCAAAAGAATTATAGATTAGGTGCTGCTCAAAAATATAGGCTCGCCCCCCGCCCCCGTTATCTCAGCTTTCTAATGTCCACGAAATACGAACTTCTGAAAACAGAGCGCACTTCGGCACTAGTGCCCCAGACGTTCATATAGCGTCGTTCACCTGTCCGCGATGAGTACAAATACTGCTACTTAGCACTCAGATACCACAGTCTTTGAAAACGCTGCACGAACTCTGATATATTGAGCAGTCCGTATTCACGTCGATCGCGTGATTGACATGCATACCAACCAGGTATAGCACCGCGTCCTATCCACCAACAGTTCTTTCTCACGGGCTATAAAGCCAATGGTTTCCAGTCCACAAGTTGGAATAACCAGCACACGAATCCCGCAAAATATCCAGCCCATCGAATAAAACTGCCACTGTTCATATCCCATCCAGCGACCGCTAGCGTTCCTACGAGATCGCATTGGTCATCACGTGAAAGAAGTTTTTTTATTAGCAGGACGACTTGCGCTCTTTTTGAATCAAAAGCAACAGATGGTTTGTGATAGAAGTCTATGACAGACCTGACACCACCATCCTCCATCATCCGTCTTTGGGGCATGTTATTGAAGGAAGTTGGATTGGTGGGTTGTGGCTGAGCGTTGTAGAAGGGAGCACGCGATGGAGGGTAGTTCTGCATACCACTGCCTGGAGCGAGGCCCATATTCTGGATTCCGTTTATAGCACTGCCTGAAAAAATTTCACACGCCTTACGGACAAGGTAGACTATGAAATCAGTCACGTAAACAGGGAAAAAGTAGCTCTTCAAAGAACTCGCTCGCACAGATGACAAGAACTCACCAAAAAATGTTGGACTGTTCCCGAGGGTTGGTGTCTGCGGATTCGACTGATTGTACTGCATGTACATCATGTGAGGAGCAGGCAGATTAGGAAGTCCAGAAGACCCACCTAAAAGCTTTCAGAAGTGGAACAAGTCATGTTGTACATTTCTGATCAGTACCCAAAAATAGATGTGATCAAAATGATTTAGTTTTGGCACGATGAAAGTCTCGACAAATAATCGACACTGTCAATCATTTATACAACGAATTAAAATTGCGACTAAAAACGGTGATCAAATCAATAAAGTACAAAATGTTTTTTTTTAATGCCACCTTTCTGCCAAGAAATGTGGGGTTGAAGTTATCTTTAGTTGGGTGATTGGAATGATTCTTCACGAAAAATATCTCAGCGCAGAAATAAATCTGTCCCCACTTTAGAGACAGCGAAAATTTTGCACTTCGGCATACTTTCTACGATTCGAAAGCTCCGCCAGCTGTTTCCACACCTTATTACTTTTTTTAAAATGGATATGGCCTCAAATCTTAAATACTGAAAATGTCGGAGCAAAGAATGCCTTTTTGAAAACACTTCATGGAATGACCCACTAAATTATATTAAGTTGAGGGGATAATCCTGCAACGCTTTAACACTTTTCTCATTTTATCTCCATTTTGTTTGCGTTTATTTGGCTCTACCAATTCTGTATGCACCATCAAATCCATGCCACCACATGCCTATAACACTCAGGTAGCTCCCAAACGCCTCTGCTCAAAATGAAGGCGGGTGCGAGTCGAAATAGCGAGTGATTTCACCTTCGAACTAAAGTTCATAGAATTGGCTCTCGTGACAGGTGGTATTCTTCACCAATTGAATAGTACATATTTACAGCGAAACATGCCAGCTCAGGTCCTTAATCCTCTGGCGAAATCAGACGAAAGGTTGTGAAGAAAATTAAAAATATTGCGTTACGGGAATCCAGGACAAACTGTTTCGGACAACCTAAAAATTCTACAGGGTAAATCTCTACCGCTACAATTGTACACCATAACTGAGTGATTTCTACTTCTCCACTGATCTCTCCAATAATGAAGAATTCAACATGTGGTTAATGCCTTGAGGAAATTTTTCACAAAAAACGGCAGGCGGAACACACTCTGAGGGGGAAACAAGTCCAACTGGATCTATTGCAGACACTATCGGTTGCGGTCGTGTTGTCACGACCATGGAGAAAGTCATGGAATTGACAATGACTTGGAAACCAGGACGGCAAGTGGCGGAAGATTCCCAAAGTTCGTTTGTTAGTGTTAGTTACTGACTGAGCGGCCTTTGTCTACCCAGTGAATGGAAGCAGCAGAAATGCATACCATATTTTGCTCATGATTTTTATCCAAGAATTGTTTGAGAAAAAATTTAAAAAATAGTTCCTCATTTTGTAGAATAGACTTCCTTTTGTATAGTTGTGTACATGTTCCTGACCGGTACAAGCAGCACAAGCAACGAGAACACTGTGAAACCTTTTCAAACAACAGTACTAAATATATGAAAATATATACAGAAAAATAACATACCTGGAAATGCCTGATCGTGACGAATTTGATTTGACATCTGCGGCCCCCCAATGGTCATATTAGACATGCTGTTGGTGACACCTAGCACAGCGTTCTGGTATGGGAATGGCGGTGATGTCGAAAACACATTCGACGGCATACCTCCTGGACCACCAATAGGCATACCTGAATCAAAGCAATTTTCCAAGCATAGCTACAGAATTTAAGGATTTTTATAAAGACTAGAGGGAATTAAAAACAGGTAAGTAGGATCAAACAAAAATTGTTTAACAGCATAATGAGCCGCAATTAAAGAAGAAGCGAAGAAAAGCGCCTCCTGATCTTGCTGCATGGAAATATTTTTCGGTCAAATTGCTAAAACATCTTTCAATTTCTCCGAACGCGGACCCCTGCACACCTTAGTACTCGCCTTACACTGTACGCAATAAGAAGACCACCAACAGCTTCTGTGTGAAGGAATTGACTCATACTATTGTTAGTTTGACCTGTTCTGCACAGAGGAAATTTGTTTAATTATCAGACATTTCAACTGAAGCATTACCTCCTCCCTTTTTCAGACAATCATCACTGGAAGAAGTCGTCGGAGCCTGATGAGGTGGAGGATACATTCCCCCCCATGCTCCATAACCGAAGCCATGTGCAGCAGGTGATCCGGACGAAAATGGCATAGTTGTGTTACCACCAATCACATGTCCTCCTTGAAACAAAAAAGGAGCCATCTGAAAATAATGACTACTGCACATGCATGGATTACCGCTGGTTTATACTTTCAAAGTGATGAATGACACTATACATTCGATAATACTAATAACTCTACTCCGACTCAAAATTGGATCAGATAGCATGCAATTGTTCAAATTAATGTAATTGTTTGCAGCAATTTCCAATGCATCTACTGAATGCACAAAACGAGATGCATTACCACGCCCTAACGGTTGCATCAGCCCGGGGAGATGCTGGCGTCGCAACTCGAATGGAGGAGTTTTATCTCGCGTAACCCATCAATAAAGCAGTCAATTTCACGCTATTCGTAGTCCAGTTAAGCGCGATAGGTAACGTTTGCACGCCATTAATAATGCACAATTGCACTCAAAAATTAACCGACATCCTGACCTGGAAATCCGGAGTGCCCCCTTGCGTCTCCACACCAGAATGATTGAACATAGGAACAGCATAAGGTATGGGTAGCCCTATGGGAGCTCCGTCATTCCTCTTCTCATCACTAAATAAATAGATGAGTAATCAAAAAAGAGAGAAAGTGTTAATCAGTGACGGAAAACTAAAAAGACAACTGTGATTGATACCTTTTTCCATCGATGATACGCAATGAAACTTCTCCTCTCGTGCTTGGTGGACCCTGAAAGTTTAAAAAAAATCTGTCATGAATGAGCACTGCTGAAAGGGTTTTACTATGACTTAGTTACAATCGAGCTCCTCATGGAAACCATTTAGTGTTACAACAACCAAGAAAGGTAAAGACTGAAGCGGCTCCGCCTGACCTTCACTCTCCATGGATTATTCCAAGAAATAAGAGCAAGCGAACGCCAGTTCTTACAGCTTCCTTTCGGGGCGCTTTCACAGTCGGTCGTTCGACCATAACGATCGCTCAACATTCGATACGCATCGTTCGTGCGACACGTCTAATAGGACGGGACGATCGACTAATGCTGCGCGTCGTTACAATCGTACGAGCGACTATGAAGGCACCCTGGATTTCAGAGGTCGTATCCCACTCTTTCTCCAGCTAGGAGAACAAAAGCTTAAATTTCGATCCATAGTCCGTCGACCTTAAATTTCTATGCTTTCACCGACTCAGTTCCTTTACTTTCCACACACCTTACTTTCACATTTTTGTATATTCAATTAGAGCTATGCACTTTCCCAGGATGATTTTTGTAGGAAGGACAAAAAAATGTAATGGGATTTTTTGTTCCCCTAGCGTGGGGAAAGATGTGATACGGCTCCAGATCAGATGGAAGGCGAAATAGCCTGCAGACCACGAGATCAAGGCACAAATATACTATCATATGTGTAGCACGTGACAACGCAATACGTGCAGATTTTGAAAATCAGTACTTCAAAAGAAAAATACTAACGAATTTTGCATTGGCAGATGCGGGTGATCCACTCAGCACATTATCGACTACCATCTGGAGCACCCCTGGGCCGTATGATTCGGAATGCGGTGAAGCAGCCTGACTTGTATTCGAGTTAGCTACCATTATCGGCTTGCTAACAGAATGATCTGAAATGGTAGAATCGTGTAAACATTTGTAAACAAAACTAGTACTTGAAACATAAGGCAATGCAAAGTCATGGAAAAAAGCAACGAAAAATAAACCGAACCCATATTTACACCAATTTAGACATTTTTTGATGGGGATCAATACTGAAAACTTTTCTATTAGAAGAGGTTTTCAGTGGAACTTGCCCATGAAGCCTACAACCTTAAGCTGATCCAACAAGTTCAAGCAATATCCAAATACTTTGAAAAAAAAATGGAATAGCGCAAATTCACAATTCATGTGAGGATAGTGTACAAAATCTGAGAATCATACTGACCAAAAAACTATAACGCCCAATAGATTCTGCTGGTGCAAAGCAGTTCTGGTGGTGGAAACGAGAATAGCCAAATAAGTCTACTACGAAATCCTTATTTTTTGCGCAGCCTACCTTTACAAGATCAGAAAGAAAATATTACAGCGGAGTACTACTTACTACGAACGCCAAATCAATGTTACACTTTGATGAAAAACAACTGTATTTTTTTTCAAAATAAATACGAGCACACCAAAAATTAAAAAATGGAATAAACACTGCTACTTACCCATGCGTCCCGTGGGTACACCATTCCAGACGTTTTGGTTGAAACCATTCGACCACTGAGGTTCAGCCATGTTCTCGTAATTTCGGCGACAAATAGAGAATAGGGCACTTGTCAACACTACTGTACAATGTTAGTAGAGAAAATAATCTGTACAGTATATACAAAGGAGGAGGAAGGCGTGCTGGAAGTTTCGACGATGTGCTCGTTCTTCAACAGTGACTCGCGTCGTCAGAATAAAACAATCACTGTAGCAGTTTGTAATCACGAGAAGACCCCACCAAAAAGCAGTGGAGCACTATATACAACTAACCTGAAAATAAATCATGCTACTATAGAACAAACTAATAATATTCGAGAAAGCCGTGGCGAGTCTCGTGCAGAATATAGACGCAAAGGACTACTACAATACCGGTTTGAGAGACTGAATTATCTGCATTTGAGCACAAAAATGAAACCACGAATTGTGATTTTTTCCCAAGCAAGGAAGGCTGCTTCCAGAATCCTGGTACGCCGAACGTTTTTGGCCAATCATCTTGAAGTTATTCCCATATTATATTGATTATCCAGCATCGCAGTGATAGGTACGCCAAGTTAAAGTCACTAAGCTAGTAGCACAGACTCAAAAAAAGAACAAAAACAGGTAAATTTGGTTGAACGCATAGCAATTTGTAATGACTTTTCAGGCGTCGCCTAGGGCACAGTTTGCTTTACACATAAAAGCAATACAGCAAAACTACTTGAGAACAGAACCCAAGTTGAACTCTGTATAGATATTTTTCGAAAAGGGAATGAAGAATGGCTGCTTCTCCTCCTCGCCTTCTACGAGAATGAATCTTTAAAAACGCTCCGATTTGAATCTTTCGTACCTTTCGAAATGTTCCTAGTGCAAAGAACGGATACAGTGACACGGGCCTAATCCTTATTCAAACTAGCTGAATATTGAAACTAGCTGAATATTCGAACTAGCGAAACGCCAACACTGCACATAGCACTCCTTCGACAAGGATTCTACCGGCCTAGCCCCAAATTGCAACCTCTTGTTCGTTGCAAGTTATTTACGAGTCTATTCCAGTTAGGCAGTGGGGGGAAGCGGTTAGAGCGCTTAACAAGTCTAAAACCACGGATAGCATATACCCCTAGTATGAAGGTTTAGGACTAAACCTCAGAAGGGAGGGGAAACCCCGGGTTCGTGAGCAATATTCGCTTTCGGGGGATGGATTTCCTCCTCCTACCCAGGCTTATCACAGCCAATCACTAGGTACCTGAACATTACTGTTCATTGACGTTTGCGTTACAAAGCACAAGAACACATACATTATACAAAAACCAGAAGAAACACTTCGTAGCTTTAAAGGACTCCTTGAACCATACTGGAACTAGAGCTGACTGTGCCCCCCTAACTGGAATAGACCCTAATTTACTGTTCAGGACTGAAACATTGGTCACGATTCAGGAGTGAAGACCAACCATTACTACATTACCACCACATTGCATCTACCTTGCGGAGATGCTTCAATATAACTCTACTGAGCCTATTACTAAGTTTGAATGATGCAATTCGGATTAATGTTGACTACGCAAGCTGCTAACGATAAGCTAAAGCGCAAATCCTGAAGCGCAAAATCAGAATGATGCTTTAGCTTTCTGGGCTGATAAGCGGTCTAAGTATCCATAGCACATCAAAGCCGAGTACTGCTTGACAGCGTGAAAGGTCAGTAATATCGAAATGCGATTACCTCCTCAAGAGAATACTCTAAGAGCAATCAAGAGAGGAACCAAAAACAACGCCCACTTCACCGCAACTCAGAATGCAAAAAAAGCTCAAATATAGACGCTAATCAGAATCAATGGACCAAAGTACGAAGAGCAACTTTATCAGACTTTTCCCGATGAAAATGAGGAGATGTTATGAAAACGAAAACATTTATGAAAGCGAAATTTGGGCCTGGATTAGCAGCCAACGATGCGCCTGAAAAACAAATGTGCCATTGGTGACTCGCGCTCGCGCGGCGAAATTGTGTGCGACGTCGCTCGACCGCCACGGCCCCGCTCCCGTGAACGCGTAATAGGCGAGCGACGTCGCGCGCGATTGGAAAAAGCCGTTGCGCGAGTGGGCAGCGACTTGTCGTTTGGCGAAAAGGAACTCAATTTCAAAAAGTCCTGTGTACGAAATAGCCGAATGTGGCGTGTCGGAACACTTATTGCTTTGGGTAAAGGCTCTGGATCGAAGTTGCTGTCACTGTATATCGCATAGTTCAAGCATTTTTCTGGGTCATTTGAATGTTTACGAACAAAAATATTTGCTGTGGCGGGGACTTTGAGCACAGGAACTGCTTCGTTGAGCGCATGATTCTACCGCTTATCAGCGCGGAACCCTTGCACCCAGTTGTGGTGGTCTCTCACTTCCTGATAGGTGTTACGTACATGAAAATGAAAAAAAAACTCAGTAGTACCGTGCATTTCTGGATTTTTTCTTCATGAGGAGATTGGTTGGCTTGGGTGAATTTGCTTGTCGAGTAAAAAATTACCACTCAAAGTTATTTAATAATGTTAAGGTAATTACAGGCATTAATACCTGTTGCCAACGACAATTATATCGAGGGTCAACCGCGACGTTTAAAATATTAGGTTGGAAGGAAAGTTCCTTAACACTTGTAGCTCAATTTTGAATTTATTTTTTACTGTTTATTTATTCAATTGATCCTACAATATTGACATTAAATACAACAACAACATACGCCAACTTCGGCATTTGGTGACATCGCAGAAATTAGAAATTAGGAAGATTTTTGCCAAACAACCTTGGTGTCGGATTTTGCGCTCGTTTTACGTCGTCGAGCTTCTGATTCTCCAGGTAAGTGAGCAATGCGACAGAAAAGGTTGAAGGGTGTATAGATAGGTTGAACGAGATATGCAGACCGGGCAGCGCGCAGTCCTACTCGCTTCGAGCAGTCTAGTGCTTGAGACGGAACACCGCGGACGTTGCGCGTTGTCGTGAGCAGGTTGACTTGTCGCTAATTCGGCGGAAGCTCTCTGCCAATCTTTTCGAGCAGCTAGCATTGTGAACCCTGTATCTGGTCAATCCCTCCAGACAGATCATCCGTTGGAGATACCGGTCAGAACGCAAAATGGGAGTGAGTCGGTGTTGAGCGGGCGTCAGAAAGATCAAAGTCTTCGCTGCGAGGCGTTTAAACAAGCCGAAACGCCATGTTGAGAGAAGTGCCCAGGCCTTATCCGGGCGGATCCTGACCACTCTGATGGTCGATCTACTCTAGCGGACTCTTACAGAATGATACGCTGGCAGTTTCTGGCGGGAAAAGTTTGATTAGTGCGACATGCAATCGATTATTGGTGAAAAGCATGATTTTATCACCTATGTACACGGTCCACTCCTACTATATACGCACCCGAAGATTCCAGAGCATTCGGGGAGAAATCACAGAAAGAGCGCGGAATTGAGCTACAAGTGTTAAGGAACTTTCCTTCCAACCTAATAAATTTCACGACCCTCCTACCCCCATATGTGAAGGGACACCCATCCAATCTCCACTTTCAACTCTACGGCGTTTCAACACTATTTAATACTATTTCTTCCGAGATCACTCAACAGGCTCCAACTCCACCCTCTTATCCTCTCCACAACGCCCGAGCGCGATGGGGTAAGGTAATATGTTAGGTAAGCGTCAGGTTCTGATTTTGTCCATTTCGCCCATCTATTTCAGAGTTCTCACCTAAGTTGTCAGAAAAAAGCGTGGACGGGGCCCCTCTCCCTCTCCATCGCCCCACGATACCCCAACATCAATATCCAAAACCACCTAGAGATCTCGTATGCTATCCCTTCCCCCATGCCTTCATCACCAAAACACGTAAACCAAAATACGGTCTCCTCCAAAACCCTAAACGACCCCTCCCCCTTCCCTTCGTTTGTAAATTACCAAATAGTTGACCCTGGTTATAGCGCATAACCCAAGTGTCAGAGGTATTTCTTCGTGCGTGGCATGTTCAGCGTTTGAAGCCAGGGTCAATCGTCATGCTGGGGAAAACTCTGGAATCAAGGCGATATCTACCGCTCCGGAGGAGATCCCACCACAGGATCTCCCCCACACCTCTCCAACGGTCGATGATATCGGTAGCACTACTGGTCACATTTTCGAATTTTGCCCATTTTATTTAAATGGTACACTACCCAAAAAAGCCCCTTCAAAATTATGATTACGACCTCCCTCGTTGATACCTCGAATTGGAGCCGACTACGAGCGAAGGACAACCGAACCTGATTGGTTTCTGCTCCTATTTGGAGCATTAGAATGTTGGCTGAGGGAATATAATCTGACAACCAGAGAGAATCTGAAGCGAAAAGATCCACCGGAGATCCGGTAAAACCTGCTATATTTCGCTAGGCCTTTGAATTGGTTGCAATTTTTCATGTCTCACATTGTGGCGTTCAGATCAAGGTGAGACTTCGAAACAGAATTAATAACGAAATAGAATATAAAATTAGGATTTCTACAAATTGGTGTCCAGTATGGTATGGGTGGTAGTATGAAAATGCTCGTAGCGAGTAACAGGAGGACTGGAGTAGGGCTGTGCTCATTCCTCTGAAAGGCATCGGAAGAAGAAATTTTCATAGAATAAGAAAATTATTTCGAAATATTAGAAACGAGAAACGTTGGAAATTTTGTATGCCGTTTCAGCATATTCTTCCTAAGAAACGCCCATGGACGCTCTTCGGATGGATGTGGTGGGGGGACATTATAACTTTTGAAAATTTTCATTACACGACCTTTCACGCTACCAGCACGTTCTTCCTCCTGCTCTTGCACCGAGGCGAATTTTTGAATGGTCATTTTTATTTTTTCTTCAGTTTTATTTCAAAATCCCTTTTTTATCTGCTTGAACAAAGCAACAATGCGAGACCTTTGAAAAAAGATTCCAAACATCTCAGAAATCTACTAAAACACAACAAGTTTTCCAGGCTGCCAGAACTTACGAGGTTGTTCGGAAAGTAATGCGGGTTTCGAGATGTCATGCATATCTGGAATATTTTTACACTGAAATTTCTTTTCAGAG